GTTCTCCAAACCTTATACATTATGTTAGAGCTATGGGAAAAGGATTTCTCCAAACCTTATACATTATGTTAGAGCTATGGGAGGGGTGTTCTCCAAACCTTATACATTATGTTAGAGCTATGGGGAAAGGAGTTCTCCAAACCTTATACATTATGTTAGAGCTATGGGAAAAGGATTTCTCTAAACCTTCTACATTATGTTAGAGCTATGGGAGGGGTGTTCTCTAAACCTTCTACATTATGTTAGAGCTATGGGAGGGGTGTTCTCCAAACCTTATACATTATGCTAGAGCTATGGGAAAAGGAGTTCCCCAAACCTTATACATTATGTTAGAGCTATGGGAAAAGGTGTTCCCCAAACCTTATACATTTTGTTCGAGCTATGGGAGGGGTGTTCTCCAAACCTTATACATTATGTTAGAGCTATGGGAAAAGGATTTCTCCAAACCTTATACATTATGTTAGAGCTATGGGAAATGTGTTCTCCAAACCTTATACATTATGTTAGAGCTATGGGAAAAGGAGTTCTCCAAACCTTATACATTATGTTAGAGCTATGGGGAAAGGAGTTCCCCATACCTTATACATTATGTTAGAGCTATGGGTAAAGGATTTCTCCAAATCTTATCCATTATGCTAGAGCTATGGGAAAAGGAATTCTCCAAACCTTATACATTATGTTGGAGCTATGGGGAAAGGTGTTCTCCAAACCTTATACAATATGTTAGAGCTATGGGAAAGGTGTTCTCCAAACCTTATACATTATGTTAGAGCTAACGGGAAAGGAGTTCTCCAAACCTTATACATTATGTTAGAGCTATGGGAAAGGTGTCCTCCAAACCTTATACATTATGTTAGAGCTATGGGGAAAGGAGTTCTCCAAACCTTATAGATTATGTTAGAGCTATGGGGAAAGGAGTTCTCCAAACCTTATTCATTATGTTAGAGCTATGGGAAAGGAGTTCTCCAAACCTTATCCATTATGTTAGAGCTATGGGAAAAGGAATTCTCCAAACCTTATACATTATGTTGGAGCTATGGGTAAAGGTGTTCTCCAAACCTTATACATTAGGTTAGAGCTATGGGAAAGGCGTTCTCCAAACCTTATACATTATGTTAGAGCTATGGGAAAGGTGTTCTCCAAACCTTATACATTATGTTAGAGCTATTGGAAAGGAGTTCTCCCAAACCTTATACATTATGTTAGAGCTATGGGAAAGGTGTTCTCCAAACCTTATACATTATGTTAGAGCTATGGGAAAAGGATTTCTCCAAACCTTGTATATTATGTTAGAGCCATTGGGAAAGGATTTCTTCTTATAAAAATAATGACAAAATGTGAAGGATTTTTATGAAAGCATGCAGTGAAATATCTTCTTAAAGTAAGAATCATTCAGACAATTTAATGGCATTTAAGAGTACAGAAAGACTGTGACAGTAATGTTTAAAGGCAAGCTAACAGTACAGTCATCTTTGTGCATTTTATCATATTTTCTCTAAAAGGCTCTTACCAATAGCAGGACCCCCAAATTTCCAAATATTTCAGTTTTAGCTTCAAGAACTCAGCCATGTTTGTTACAAGAAAACATTGATATAATTGCAGGGGCAATTTCGAATAGAAAATTATCAAACCCTCCTCTAAATACATTGGGTTATTTTCATTGAAAATTTTGTCAGTGGCGGATGCATTAATGAAATCAACAAGCATGAACACATGTAAATACCTTTCGTTCAATATTCATGATAAACAATACAACACACAAAACACAATGAAAACAATAATCTTTTAACCCTTTCACCACTGTAGACCATAATGGACTCATCCCCATAAATGCATGGTAGAGTCTACTAAAGTTACCTAGGGGTGAAAGGGTGAAATGTTAAAAAACATTGTATTTGTTTAAAGATCTTAATTTTTTGTTTGTTCCTTAAGCTAGACTCATTCAGAAACGTATCACAACACCCTTGCCAATATTAAAGTGGCCTTTAACAGCAGGTTTGATATTAAAAATGCACTGACTTAACTTAGTGAAGCATTATCAATGACATGATGAACTTATAAATGATCAAGGTGTTCTCTCAAGAACTGATGAGAAATTTGGTTTGGTTTGTCTGCAGTTTTGCGTCCGTGTCGATGGATAATGATATGTAATTTAAGGGCCTGCACTTTAAACTGGCATCACACCGGGCTGCAACAAGCTGGACACGGTAACACGACATTCATTTTCCTCGTTATATTATAATAACAATAGTCCAGTCCTTATCGTCATCAATTTAAAGCTGAATGTCAAACAGGTCTACATTATAATAACAATAGTCCAGTCCTTATCGTCATCAACTTAAAGCTGAATGTCAAACAGGTCTACATTATAATAACAATAGTCCAGTCCTTATCGTCATCAACTTAAAGCTGAATGTCAAACAGGTCTACATTATAATAACAATAGTCCAGTCCTTATCGTCATCAACTTAAAGCTGAATGTCAAACAGGTCTACATTATAATAACAATAGTCCAGTCCTTATCGTCATCAACTTAAAGCTGAATGTCAAACAGGTCTACATTATAATAACAATAGTCCAGTCCTTATCGTCATCAACTTAAAGCTGAATGTCAAACAGGTCTACATTATAATAACAATAGTCCAGTCCTTATCGTCATCAACTTAAAGCTGAATGTCAAACAGGTCTACATTATAATAACAATAGTCCAGTCCTTATCGTCATCAACTTAAAGCTGAATGTCAAACAGGTCTACATTATAATAACAATAGTCCAGTCCTTATCGTCATCAACTTAAAGCTGAATGTCAAACAGGTCTACATTATAATAACAATAGTCCAGTCCTTATCGTCATCAACTTAAAGCTGAATGTCAAACAGGTCTACATTATAATAACAATAGTCCAGTCCTTATCGTCATCAACTTAAAGCTGAATGTCAAACAGGTCTACATTATAATAACAATAGTCCAGTCCTTATCGTCATCAACTTAAAGCTGAATGTCAAACAGGTCTACATTATAATAACAATAGTCCAGTCCTTATCGTCATCAACTTAAAGCTGAATGTCAAACAGGTCTACATTATAATAACAATAGTCCAGTCCTTATCGTCATCAACTTAAAGCTGAATGTCAAACAGGTCTACATTATAATAACAATAGTCCAGTCCTTATCGTCATCAACTTAAAGCTGAATGTCAAACAGGTCTACATTATAATAACAATAGTCCAGTCCTTATCGTCATCAACTTAAAGCTGAATGTCAAACAGGTCTACATTATAATAACAATAGTCCAGTCCTTATCGTCATCAACTTAAAGCTGAATGTCAAACAGGTCTACATTATAATAACAATAGTCCAGTCCTTATCGTCATCAACTTAAAGCTGAATGTCAAACAGGTCTACATTATAATAACAATAGTCCAGTCCTTATCGTCATCAACTTAAAGCTGAATGTCAAACAGGTCTACATTATAATAACAATAGTCCAGTCCTTATCGTCATCAACTTAAAGCTGAATGTCAAACAGGTCTACATTATAATAACAATAGTCCAGTCCTTATCGTCATCAACTTAAAGCTGAATGTCAAACAGGTCTACATTATAATAACAATAGTCCAGTCCTTATCGTCATCAACTTAAAGCTGAATGTCAAACAGGTCTACATTATAATAACAATAGTCCAGTCCTTATCGTCATCAACTTAAAGCTGAATGTCAAACAGGTCTACATTATAATAACAATAGTCCAGTCCTTATCGTCATCAACTTAAAGCTGAATGTCAAACAGGTCTACATTATAATAACAATAGTCCAGTCCTTATCGTCATCAACTTAAAGCTGAATGTCAAACAGGTCTACATTATAATAACAATAGTCCAGTCCTTATCGTCATCAACTTAAAGCTGAATGTCAAACAGGTCTACATTATAATAACAATAGTCCAGTCCTTATCGTCATCAACTTAAAGCTGAATGTCAAACAGGTCTACATTATAATAACAATAGTCCAGTCCTTATCGTCATCAACTTAAAGCTGAATGTCAAACAGGTCTACATTATAATAACAATAGTCCAGTCCTTATCGTCATCAACTTAAAGCTGAATGTCAAACAGGTCTACATTATAATAACAATAGTCCAGTCCTTATCGTCATCAACTTAAAGCTGAATGTCAAACAGGTCTACATTATAATAACAATAGTCCAGTCCTTATCGTCATCAACTTAAAGCTGAATGTCAAACAGGTCTACATTATAATAACAATAGTCCAGTCCTTATCGTCATCAACTTAAAGCTGAATGTCAAACAGGTCTACATTATAATAACAATAGTCCAGTCCTTATCGTCATCAACTTAAAGCTGAATGTCAAACAGGTCTACATTATAATAACAACAGTCCAGTCCTTATCGTCATCAACTTAAAGCTGAATGTCAAACAGGTCTACATTATAATAACAATAGTCCAGTCCTTATCGTCATCAACTTAAAGCTGAATGTCAAGCAGAGACCTGTAAGTACTGGTTTTAACGTCTTTAGTTTGTTTTTGTCAAGACACAGAACCCTGGCATCCACCTTCCTTGCACAGGTTTACGCTTAACAGACGATGAAGCTCCTCGTTAGACTTACCTTGAACTGAAATGGCTAGTTCTGCAGATGACATGCTACTGGTGGAAAACTCTTTGTCTTTGTCTTTTTTCGCTGCTTTCTGTGCTTTCCGTCGCTTTTTCTGGCTAGGATTATCTCCCCATAAATTGGTGCCGCCATATATGCTTGGAATATTTAGTAGAGCGATACCCTCGAGTCGCGGCCCGTTGGCCAGATCCAGGGAGTACCCATCACACTTTGGGGGTGAAAAAAGAAGACTTCAGGTAACTATTTCTTCCTACATTTACACCAAAAGAACCAACAGAAATTGCCTGGTTTGTTATGATATTCTGTTAAAGTGATTTTTCAAAAACTGTCAAATGTAAAAAGTTTAATGTCTTTGCTTAAGACAGGAGATGTCAAATTAATCAGAAATCAAATCAGACAGGTTTCACTGTATACATTTGAATTAATTAAAAATACATTTCAAGAACTGAAATTTAACTAATTCATTATATCTTTAACTGATCTTATAGCAGTTAAAAGAAATTTGATAAAACCATGTGTAATAAATTTCAGATATTTTACTTCCAATGCGATTTCCTAAATTAATATTATACAACTCACCATAATATCTATATCTTCATGAAGATGCTTGCAGGTTGCTGCAAATGTTTCGGACGTTCCAAATTCAAAGTACCACAGTTTATTTTTCATCCTGGAACAAATACGAAATCATGATTGAGGGGAGGCAACTCTTACTTCCAACCCATTCACTGGCTAGCACATCCCTGAATTCTAGGATTTGCACAAGTAAACAGTATGTGTTGATTGGCTGAAAGTGTTATGGGTATCTGTGTTGATTGGCTGAAAGTGTTATGGGTATCTGTGTTGATTGGCTGAAAGTGTTAGGGGTATCAGTGATTTTCTTTGAGGTTTTATTCAGTCTCTGATTCATTATAAACAATTTAACCACAGCTAGTAGTATTACCTGATGGTTTGTAATTTTGACAGATTATCCAATTCCTACTCGAGATATAAATTTTATACACGGCACTGATATCTGATAAAATACTGTACAATATAAACCATTGGTGAATTCCTTACGGTTTTTCTTTTACTTCCTATTTTCTTGATATGAACTAGACTACTCGTACATTTGAACTTTTACAGTGTTCCCCCACAACCCCCTAATGAGTATTTTCATCTTAAAAAACCCCAAACGGTTCCACCATTTTTCAATAACTGTCCCATATAACTAAGTACCTTGGCGTAAAGAATCTTGAAAATCAAGGTGAAGCATATAAACCGAGTACTTTTCATGTCTTACAGTATCTGGGTTATATGTAGTATCACATGCAGCAGCTCTGATATATTTTTTCATCTTTGAAGATAGTCTACACAGAATTTTGAAGCATGAAACTTGGTCCAGCAAAGCAATCCAAGATGGCAGCTTATTGTGTTTGAAGTATGAAGATTTGAGAATTTGAGAAAAAAAAAAAAAAAAAAAAAAAAAAAAAAAAAAAANATAAGACTGTACAGTTTTCCTAGCTTTGTTGTACTTAAGATTTGTCATCAGCAATAGACTTTACTGTTACTTGAAAGCTTTATGGGTTTTCTTTCACAAAAATAGGTTCCGCCAGACAAGCCATGTGTCATTATATAATAAGCCCGGTATATCATTTCCCCTCATTTCTAATCACTACCCGAGAATTCTTGCTCGGCTTCCACAGATAACACAGCTATAAGCACAAACCTCTCTGTACAAGCTTACCTGCTATTAAATTTTTCAGGATGCCTCTCACGCATTACATGGAATCTATGACAAATGGATGCATCCTGAAAGAAAGATAAATTTCCCATTAATTCATGATCAGGTAAGCAGACTGGCAGAGTGATACATGCTCTGGCCTCCCACACACAAGGCTGGAGTTAATCCCCAGAGTCATTGTTGCATGGATTTTCAGAGAAAGTCATTTTTCTCCTACCAAGGCCTAAAACCATAATACTTGTGTTTACCCTACATGCCAATATAAGTCATTAATAGTATTTATTTCTCATTTAGATTTAACCGAGATTATAAAGCACAGGAAAAATGACTTTTACATTCCTACCTTCAACATGTGGGCAGTAAACTTAAGGGTTGGTTGGGTGTGTGGAAAAACAGTGTTATCATTTTAGAATCCACTAACCCATGAATGTCTGCACTGAAATATTCAAGTGAGGTGAAACTTTGTAAAAATAACCCTTTGAGAGCACCTTCCCATCAACATCAACATGACTCTGCCACACATACAGGCATACACACCTGGAGGTATTAGCCAGGTGGCATAGGACTAGAAGTTAGTGCTTGACAAGGTAGCACTTCCATTTTTCTCTCATGGTATTGACAGTATTCATTGTATAAACTGTATATCTATGTATTGTAAAGCACCATATTCTTGCTAGAGCTGAGGGTGCTTTATCAATGTTGTGTGAAAATATTGATTAATGACATTTGAAAAATATGCAACAGATGTTTTCCCCCACATGTGAAGGTGACGAGATACTTACTACACCTATGGAAAAGTAATTGTTGATAATGTTGTATGGAATGGGGTCGCCCTCCTCCTCCTCCCCCTCCTCCGGCTTGCTGAACTCTATCTGCCAGCGGTCCATCATCACCGAGGTACCATGCTCGATCCTCTGGAGGACCTTGATCAGGTTTTCACCCTCGTAACCTACCAACATCAAAACAACATTCATCAAGTCTACCAACATCAAAACAACATTCATCAAGTCTAGCAACATCAAAATAACATTCATCAAGTCTAGCAACATGCTAAAAGACATTCCAAAGACATAGTGCTAGTGTTCCCACGTGTTTGGTGCCTTTAAGTTTCCTGAAATGCTTGTTGTTTTATTCTATTCATGTGGTGTGCTTATTTTAACATTTTGAAACTCACCGCCACCCCAGTGTAGACAGCGGGCGAGGTCATTGCCTGTCCCCAGGGGAAGCACAGCCACAGGAGGTCGCTCTTTGTAGTTCAGCTTATCTGTCGAGATGAATCATAAGATCACATAAAATACTGGCCAAAGGGAGCTAACTCTTATATAGTACAAAAGTAAGAAATGCCTCATTGTAACAGCAGGGACTGAGATCTGGGACTGGGAGGGTGGGGTTTTAAAATATTTGGGACTGGGTTCCTCATGATCAACAACTAGATTTGTTAACTTTTTTATTGTCCAGTCTTTCCTATCCAATCATATGCACCATTTCAGGGAATTGTTTATCTTGTCTGGTGACTATAGCGTGTTGGTCCCATGGTGGTGTCAGTAAAACTATTAACTTAGACAAACAAGGTTACCGCGAGCGGTATATAATACGCCCGTCACACATTGAATGAGCAGTTGTTTGTATGATTGAAATATATGAAGTATTTGTGAGTAATTGATATTAAAAGAGAAATCATTCAACATAACTGGTAGATCAATGAGTGCAATACAACATCATGGAACGCATGCATCGCATTAATGAAACCAAGGGGAATAACTCCAATAATTACGGTCGAATAATGGAGGTTATCGAACTTGTCCGAGGTTTCATGGTAATTAACCTTGTTGTGAAGTTTGAAGTTAATCCGTTAATAATTACTCGAGATATCGAGCGGACACTGTTACGGCAAGTCTATAAAGGGGCAAAACTCCACAAATTATGGTCGGATAATGGCGGTTATGGAACTTGTGCGAGCTTTCATGGTAATTAACCTTGTTGTGAAGTTTGAAGTTAATCCGTTAATAATTACTCGAGATATCGAGCGGACACTGTTTCGGCAAGTCCATAAAGGGGCATAACTCCACAAATTATGGTCGGATAATGGCGGTTATCGAACTTGTCCGAGGTTTCATGGTAATTAACCTTGTTGTGAAGTTTGAAGTTAATCCGTTAATAATTACTCGAGATATCGAGCGGACATCGTTTGCCCGCCCGCCCGCCCGCCCGCCCGCTCATGTGATAACATAATACGTCCCCGTCTTCGACGGGCGTATAAAAACCGACTGTCTTTACTCTTCAAATTATCGAAAACATGTTTATGTTGTTACCAAAACATCCTCCATCACAAATTTTGAATATATTGACCCTATCTATGGTTGGTCAGTCAATTTTCAGTCTGATCTACACCTATATAATGTTTGCACACTTACCCATGGCCTCTATAAGCCAGCCGACAGAGCCGTCTCCTCCACAAACCAAAATCCGCACTCCCGGCACATCCTTGAAGAACTGTAACCTACATATGTAACGTAATTAGTATAAATCTTTTACTTTTCGCTGTAAAATAGGTCTATTTAAATCTGGATACTCTAGCTCCACAACAATTCTAGAATCACTGTTCCTTTTTTTTTTTTTTTTTTTCTCTCCATTTACCCAGTAATGAAAGACAATTTATCAGACAAAATCCTTCTGTTTCTGTTCTGTTAGATATTTTTATTTGTAAGTTTTCATGCGTTTTACATAAAACATAATAAAGTCACCCCTGTTTTGTTGTCCTGGATCCACTTCAGCACATTTGTAAGTGAATTTTAATGTTTAGCTAGAGTCTTTCCTCCATCAAAAAAGAAAAATAATAGATATGAAATCGTTACAATGAAAATCAGGTGTAACCATGACTTACCCCGGCATTGGGCCTTGTTTTATCATGTCGTGTACTTGGCGCGGATTCAACAGGTACTGCATTTTTCGTAAAATCCTGTAATGTAGAACACGTTAAGCAAACTTTACACGAGGCAATTGGGTTACAAACTTTACACGAGGCAAGGGTTAACACCAGGGTGACAAACTTTACACGGGGCAAGGGTTAACACCAGGGTGACAAACTTTACACGAGGCAAGGGTTAACACCAGGGTGACAAACTTTACACGAGGCAAGGGTTTACACCAGGGTGACAAACTTTACACGAGGCAAGGGTTAACACCAGGGTGACAAACTTTACACGAGGCAAGGGTTAACACCAGGGTGACAAACTTTACACGAGGCAAGGGTTAACACCAGGGTGACAAACTTTACACGAGGCAAGGGTTAACACCAGGGTGACAAACTTTACACGAGGCAAGGGTTAACACCAGGGTGACAAACTTTACACGAGGCAAGGGTTAACACCAGGGTGACAAACTTTACACGAGGCAAGGGTTAACACCAGGGTGACAAACTTTACACGAGGCAAGGGTTAACACCAGGGTGACCCAGCTAAATACTTTATGTTGATTGTGTAACAACTCTAGGACTGATCTACATCAAATGAAAAAAATAATCCTAACAAATTATTATACTGTGAAGATGCTCTGGGGCTCAAACCTTAAAACAATTGCATCTTAAAATCTTTAATTACAAAATTCATATTACGGATTCAAGACATCATGACATTTTTTTTTTTTTAATTATTCAATTTGAAAAATCGAATTTCAATTTCATAGAGAAAGCGTGACTTACTTGGTACCCTGCTTGCCCCCACTTTTGGGGTTGATGAACACTAGGACAGGATGACTACCTTGGACAGGTGTAACTTGAAATGAGTTTTGACCCTGCAATAGATTTACAAATCTCCTGTACAGACTGCGTACAGCTGGAGTCTACACATTTTTATAGCAGGATCAAGAAAATCAGAAAAGTAAAGAAACACTGTTCACATGCAAGTTTTACAAATCCCCTAGAACTTCTACTATCACCAATTAATACAATTATTCTGTGGTTAAGAATTATGTGTCAGCAGATATACAAAACAGAATAGCAATTGATTCACGTACAAATCTCTTATGAAGCAATGATGAAATAAAAATAAAAATCACAGCTTTATAGGGACTTTTTTTTTACTTTTTTTTATGTCAAGTATTCTAAACGTATCATTTATAAACCACAGCCTGTATATAACATATGACTATAGTAACCCGATACAAAAAGATTGCTGGAGGTTTTTCATTATTATCATAAACACTGACTGTTCCTTTGAAGAAAGTCATTTAACTGATTTTTATTCATTTTTTTTGACAACAACGGCTGTGTAGAGTTATGTCATGAAGAATGTTTTTACCGGCGTGGTACCAGACACGTCGAATGTTGTGGAGTTTGTCCGCGTCACTCCTTTCTTGTCTGTCTTCCCTCCCGCTGACCCCGCCCTTTGTCGTTCCTGTATTAAGGAAAATGATTATACATGTATATCAAAGTCCCACCTGTCTATAAGACCACCAAGGGAAAAAGGAAAAAATGTTTTAATATACATGTGGTCCTGTTGGAAAGGTATATAATGAGAGGGGTTCAGGTGTATTTGTAGCCAGTTTTTATAGAATCCTGTGGCAGTTACAGAACAAAAACATTTATAACAATCACTAAGGGACATAACTCTACAGTACAATAAATTTATAACCAACAACAATTGATCTAAAATTGTTTCTATAAGCAAAATTATAAAAGAAAATCATAACAAAAATCACAATTCTGACTCCACTATAATCCTGTGGTAGAATTTTTCTTACATTAAGAGGTGGTGTTTGATTGTATCTTACCAATAAGACATGTAATGGTGGGTGGTAATAATAATGATAATAATTCGAGGTTCTTTAATTATACCGCTTTATCACAACCTAGTTCATAGGTCGTCTCAAAGCGGTTCACAAATTATTATCTGTGGTTATAGGGCCTTTGCACCCAGCCAATATCTTTCTTTACTCTCTGGGGAGCATACAGCCGGAGCTGCCATTTCGGCGCTAACAGCTAGCATTCAACAATTCTAGCGCTGCCTAACCACGTACTCATTTACAGCTGAGTAGACTGGAACAAGTGTAGTAAAGTATCTTGCTCAAAGATACAACATCATGCCGTGACTCGAACCCGCAACCCTTCGGTCACGAGCCCAGCATCCTACCACTAGACTAACGTGCCTCCTAGAACATATCTTACCAGAAAGACATATAGAGGTGGGTGGTAGAACGTATCTTACCAGTAAGACATATAGAGGTGGGTGGTAGAATGTATCTTACCAGTACAGCAGGACATATAGAGGTGGGTGGTAGAATGTATCTTACCAGTAAGACATATAGAGATTGGTGGTAGAATGTATCTTACCAGTAAGACATATAGAGGTGGGTGGTAGAATGTATCTTACCAGTAAGACATATAGAGGTGGGTGGTAGAATGTATCTTACCAGTAAGACATATAGAGGTGGGTGGTAGAATGTATCTTACCAGTAAGACATATAGAGGTGGGTGGTAGAATGTATCTTACCAGTAAGACATATAGAGGTGGGTGGTAGAATGTATCTTACCAGTAAGACATATAGAGGTGGGTGGTAGAATGTATCTTACCAGTAAGACATATAGAGGTGGGTGGTAGAATGTATCTTACCAGTAAGACATATAGAGGTGGGTGGTAGAATGTATCTTACCAGTAAGACATATAGAGGTGGGTGGTAGAATGTATCTTACCAGTAAGACATATAGAGGTGGGTGGTAGAATGTATCTTACCAGTAAGACATATAGAGGTGGGTGGTAGAATGTATCTTACCAGTAAGACATATAGAGGTGGGTGGTAGAATGTATCTTACCAGTAAGACATATAGAGGTGGGTGGTAGAATGTATCTTACCAGTAAGACATATAGAGGTGGGTGGTAGAATGTATCTTACCAGTAAGACATATAGAGGTGGGTGGTAGAATGTATCTTACCAGTAAGACATATAGAGGTGGGTGGTAGAATGTATCTTACCAGTAAGACATATAGAGGTGGGTGGTAGAATGTATCTTACCAGTACAGCAGGACATATAGAGGTGGGTGGTAGAATGTATCTTACCAGTAAGACATATAGAGGTGGGTGGTAGAATGTATCTTACCAGTACAGCAGGACATATAGAGGTGGGTGGTAGAATGTGGTCCCTCATAATTCCAAGGTCACATTCAGGCTTTACTTGTGATGCACATTTGTTATGTAACTGAAAATCATACAAAATATTATTAACAACTGAGAACTTAAATTGATTAAATCTGCCAAGAGATAATATTTTTCTCCAAATCTTACAGGGGTCAACGATGATACCTTGGCATGCCAGGCATTTACTATTGTTGTCTTTGCTTAGATTTCATAGTTGTTCATGATATATTGCACATTTTTCTGTGCTTTTAATTTAAATGTCATGTATTCTTTTAAGGTTGAGGGTCCCAGCACTCTGTGTTGTATCTCTAACAAAAAAGAGTTCCAATTTGGCCAGCATTTTGTCCTACTTGAAGTATACGTAGTTAGACACAAAAGCAATATATTTATCATGTTTTTCATTTCCGAAAAACATGGTAAGTAATACTTAACTACATTGTAACTTTATACATTTATTTACATAATATTTTCATTTTTTCTTATTACCTAAAATGCCTACAACCCACAATCGACTTTTTGTAGATAAAGAAGAAATAACATAAATTTAATAGAGAAATCAATGGACCTATTTAATTCAGGCTGGAGAATTTTAACAGAAAAGAGAATGAAATGGTGGAGAGAAATAACTGATCATGCTTACCGTTGTGTGACACCAGCGACAGTGAAGGCCCGTAACACCATTTTTTACAGACTTACGACACTTGTCACATTTTCCGGAACAGTTGCCCTCAACCCAATGGTGGGTCATAGCCTGAAAGTAACAAAACAATACGAAATCAACGCATCAGCATTATGTTAAAATATATATAAAGATATAGTCTGAAAATCAACAAACTAATTTTAAAGATGAAAAAAAAGTTCACCTTACTGTAAATATTTTAACACAAGTAACTGTAGGCATGTTATAATTCCCAATATAAAACAAGACATCATATTTTGGATTAAAGATAGAAACCGATCAAAGACAGAAACCAGCCATCAGGTGAAGAATCAGATATAGAAACCAGACATCAGGTGAAGGATCAGATATAGAAACCAGCCATCAGGTGAAGAATCAAATATAGAAATCAGCCATCAGGTGAAGGATCAGTTATAGAAACCAGCCATCAGGTAGAGAATCAAATATAGAAACTAGCCATCAGGTGAAGGTTTAGTTATAGAAACCAGCCATCAGGTAAAAAATCAGATATAGAAACTAGTCATCAGGTGAAGAATCAAATATAGAAACCAGCTATCAGGTGAAGAATCAGATATAGAAACTAGCCATCAGGTGAAGAATCAGATATAGAAACCAGCCATCAGGTGAAGAATCAGATATAGAAACCAGCCATCAGATGAAGAATCAGATATAGAAACTAGCCATCAGGTAAAGAATCAAATATAGAAACCAGCCATCAGGTGAAGGATCAGTTATAGAAACCAGCCATCAGGTGAAGAATCAAAAATAGAAACCAACCATCAGGTGAAGGTTCAGTTATAGAAACCAGCCATCAGGTAAAAAATCTGATATAGAAACTAGTCATCAGGTGAAGAATCAAATATAGAAACCAGCCATCAGGTGAAGAATCAGATATAGAAACCAGCCATCAGGTGAAGGATCAGATATAGAAACTAGCCATCAGATGAAGGAGACATAAACCAGCCATAGGGCCTGTAAAGGATAAGAAACAGAAACTAGAAATCAGATTAAGAAACAAAGGTAGAATCTTGAGCCATCAGGTGAAAGATCCAAAACAGAAACCAGCCATCAGGTGACAGATCCAAAACAGAAACCAGCCATCAGGTGACAGATCAAAAACAGAAACCAGCCATCAGGTAAAGGATCCAAAACAGAAACCAGCCTTCAGGTAATATCTCCAAAACAGAAACCAGCCATCAGGTGAAGGCCGATCCAAAACAGAAACCAGACATCAGGTGACAGATCAAAAACAGAAACCAGCCATCAGGTGACAGATCAAAAACAGAAACCAGGCATCAGGTAAAGGATCCAAAATAGAAACCAGCCTTCAGGTAATATCTCCAAAACAGAAACCAGCCATCAGGTGAAGGCCGATCCAAAACAGAAACCAGCCATCAGGTGAAGGATCCAAAACAGAAACCAGCCATCAGGTGACAGATCCAAAAAAGAAACCAGCGATCAGGTGAAGGATCCAAAACAGAAACCAGCCATCAGGTGAAGGATCCAAAACAGAAACCAGCCATCAGGAGAAGGATCCAAAACAGAAACCAGCCATCAGGTGACAGATCCGAAACAGAAACCAGCCATCAGGTGAAGGATCCAAAACAGAAACCAGTCATCAGGTGACAGATCCAAAACAGAAACCAGCCATCAGGTGACAGATCCAAAATAGAAACTAGGCATCAGGTGACAGATCCAAAACAGACCCAGCCATCAGGTGAAGGATCCAAAACAGAAACCAGCCATCAGGTGAAGGATCCAAAACAGAAACCAGCCATCAGGTGAAGGATCCAAAGAAACTTTAAAAAAAACTATCAATAGAATATATGCACCAGAAACATATTATAGAATTTATGTATAAGAACACACATATACTCAAAGGAAATAAAGTTACTAGTATAATAGAACAAAACTTACCAGAACATGGGAATTGGAATGTTGGTACAAGAAAATAGGAATATAATATTGTTACTAGAAAATAGAAATTAGAATGCGCTAGTAGAAATAGAAATTAAAATGTTAATAATAGAAAAGAGGAATAGGAATGTTGATATTAGAAAACAGAATTATAAATATCAATACTAGAAAATAAGAATGAAAATGCTGATACATACTAGGAATTAGAACTAGATAGATATCAGATCATCTAAATCAGATGGAATGGAAAGTAAATACTAGAATATGGGAAATAAAAATGTGAAGACAACTATAAACATCTATAACATGAAGACCAGAAAAAAGTAGTACATTTTTGTATATCTGGGTACTAGAATATAATCGTTCTAGTATTAATTGGTCTATTAATGATGACACAAGTTTGGTACAAGAACATACGAGACAAAAAGACAAAAGTAAAAATCCCATCCAAAGTTCAAAATGACATTAAAATGTTCACCACTTTTCAGAAATATGTTTTGTGACAAGTATACACAGTAAAGGTTTTGTAAAAAGCTTGAGCTAAAGATTGAGGAAAAAAAGAATACAGAGAATCATACAAAAGTAATGAAAGATTTGCTTAAGGAGTAAAAAGAGAAGAAATTGAAAAGCACAATGACTTGCAAATTACAAAAATGTCCTTAAAGTCTGTTAATCCGTTTTTTTGCTAAATCTTGTTTGGTACACAACATTTTTTTCTGGTTACTTAATTATTTACCAATTTTTTGGGACTTATTATATTAATTTTGAATCTCTAAAAGAAAATTTTGATCTATTTATCACAGAATCTTAACATAACATTAATTTTGTTGGAGGACATCTAAAGAAAACACTGAAGACACAGATTTATTATTAATACAAGCTGTATCGAAACTACATTCGCTTGCAGAAAACGTCGAAGGCATAAATATTACTACATGGTTAAACTAAAATTTCTGCATTAATTTGCTCTTGAATTTTTAATTCTATAATAAATAAACCAGCAAATTGAGGTAAAAAGCTGATGTTGAAAATTCACTGAATCAATCCAATTTTTTGATCCAGGAGTAGAGCCAACGCCGTTATTGTAGTTCAGGTTCGGTAGTTTCCGTTATCCCTTGCCTGGATACCAACCAGTATGCAGGGCGATTGAAGAATAGGAAAATAAGCGTAGGAGTCAATCGCAACAAGCTCAGGATAAGTTGAATCTTATTTATTGGGTATGTCTACCGGTTTCGCCCGAACAGTGGGCTTCTTCAGGAGTTTTTTGATTTTGTGTAAATTAAGCTTTCTTGTAGGAACTAATTTCCAGACTGTGCATATTTGCAAGGGAAGACATTTTAAGCTATAAGCATAGTATCTGGGTGTATCTACATGTCTGCAACGTGACTCTTTTTTTGTTTTAGATTATCGCAGAATTTTAAATCACTTCTAAAGCCTTATCTGGGCACATCTGAAGTTGTTTTCGACATCACTTACTTGATAACTGAAATTTTATGAAAAAGTATTAAGATATATGTCAATAAAAGAAAAATGTTCATGCATTGCTAAATTGAATGACAATAACTTTAAATAATGAATATACAAACACATCAAGTCTATGATAACCAGCAAAAATAATAGTATTAAAATCACAAGCATTCAACAGAAGCGCAAAATAATATAGGCATTATCTATTGCTTCCTTGCGGTTTGTATAAGAGGGCAGATGTCGTGTCTATCCTATCTTAAATACCACAAGGAGACCTTAACATATAAACCTCTTTTATACAATGTAGCGTAAAGTTGGAAAAGAACGATAGTCGGAAATAAAATGAAATGAAATGCAAGACAAATAGCACTGAAAAAAAGAAGAACGTAAAAAATAATTAGATGTATCCAAAGTAGAAAAGAGCCAGGAAGTTCTTGTCCATTTGAAGCATTTAACGACAAGAATGGATTGTCCAACTACCATTAACTATACCTTACAACAGCCCCTGTGGTGTCAGTAAATTTGTTAAAATTCTTAAAAGTGATATCTTATGAACATAACAATACCTATAGCGATTGAATACATGTTGACAAATTTCCCTACAGAACAGAAGTATTTTTCCCTTCAATTGTTTAACAAATTCTGATCATTTCTTCCACATAAAATTTATAAGAGTTACTTACCTTATACAAAGTTTTGTATATAAGAAATTTTTCGCTTTAGATCTAAGAACTTGAGTACTCATGTCCTCTTCCATAACATAAGCATAATTAATTAATGATATAATACAGGTATTAAATTATGTAAATAGACTTGAAATTACATAAATTCACATCATTATAAATCAAAACTGGTCAACAATGTAAATATGACCTGTCATTGTTTTGAACAAGAGCTTTTTCAGTGACCACACCCCATTGACAATGACCTTGTTAGTGACCACATCCCTTGACAATGACCTATATAATGACCACACCCCTTGACAATGACCTTGTCAGTGACCACATCCCTTGACAACGACCTAGTCGTTGACCACACCCCTTGACAATGGCCTAGTCAGTGACCACACCCCATTACCACAACCATGCCAGTTACCACACCCCTTGACAATGACCTAGTCATTGACCACACCCTTTGACATCAACCTAGTCATTGACCACACCCCTTGACAATGACCTAGTCATTGACCACACCCTTTGACATCGACCTCGTCAGTGACCACACCCCTTAACAATGACCTCGTCAGTGACCATGCACACCCCTTGACAATGACCTTGTCAGTGACCACACCCCTTGACAATGACCTAGTCCATGCTGCTCACCATTACCATGACCTTGCCTGTGACAACACCCAATGATAAGGACCTTTGTGACCGCAGCCCATTACGACGACCTTGGCTGAATACTAAACATATTACAAGTACTTTAGCCTACAACCATTATCTAGAATAAGTACGGCTATCATTACAGTTACAATAGAAAAAGAAAATGTAAATAGATGATACTAAATGAAATAATTTCAAACTATTTTTTCAAAGTCTAATTTTAAGGAAACCGTTTCCGATCTTTTCTGCCAACTTTTTTGGGCTATAGTTATACTACCAACACCAAATCAGTGCATGTATTTGTGAATTGTGTGCAGATAATAATAGAGAACTCCTCTCCTGCCATTACTCAACTAAATGGGTTTGAGGCTACAGTTATGACTATGTAGTGACGTAGATACATCTCAACTCCATTAAATCTGGGTTTGAGGCTTCAGTTACACCAGTGACCTTATTAGAGGTATATCTACATGTACAATGCCCCTCCAGTCTCCTTAATTCCTCCACTAAATCAGTATCTGGGTTAGAGGCTATAGTTAAGACTAGAGGTGTAGCCCCAGGTTATACCTCTGCTCTGCCCTTCCGTCTCCTTTGGGTTTGAGGCTATAGTTAAGACTAGAGGTGTAGCCCGAGGTTATACCTCTGTTCTGCCCTTCCGTCTCCTTTGGGTTTGAGGCCACAGTTAAGACTAAAGGTGTAGCCCCAGGTTATACCTCTGCTCTGCCCTTCCATCTCATTTGGGTTTGAGGCTACAGTTAAGTCTACAGACGTTATGTGAGGTAACTACCCTACCCTTCTGGTCTAATTGATTACTCCACTAACTTGTTTTTGGGTCCAAGGCTACAGTTAAAGCAAGAGATGTTAATATAAGTGAAGTACATCTTTATTGTCCCTCTGGACTCATCACTTACTACACTAAATCTTTAACTGGATTAGAGGCTAAAGTTAAGACTATAGTGATGTTACAATATACACATCTAGACTGCTGCTCTGGTTTCATTAATTACTGTACTAACTATATGTATCTATATAAATTGGAGGCTTCAGTTAATCTAGAGATATGTTAGATTATATACTACATAGGTGTATCTACACTGCCCCTCCTGTCCAATTAACAATTCCACTTAATCTATGGGTTTGAGGCTACAATTATAGGACTAGTTGTAATTGCATAAGGTTCATCTAAACTGCCTTTTTGGTCTCATATATAACTACTATACCAAATCCTTATCTGGGTTTGAGGCTACAGTTAAGCCTAAAGTCCCACTAAATATTCTACTAATTCTGTATTTGGGTTCGAGGTTACAGTTAAGACTTAAGTCCCACTAAATGTACCACTGATTCTGTATTTGGGTTCGAGGCTACAGTTAAGACTTAAGTCCCACTTAAGATTCCACTAACTCTGTATCTCCAGGGTTCGAGGCTACTGAGTTAGGACTAGTAACGTTAAGTATGGTATATTTTAAATGCCCCTCCGGACCACTATCTCTGTATCTGGGTTCGAGGCTACAGCCAGGACTAGTGACTAGTTAAGACTTAAGTCCCACTTAAGATTCCACTAACTCTGTATCTCCAGGGTTCGAGGCTACCGAGTTAGGACTAGTAACGTTAAGTATGGTATATTTGAAATGCCCCTCCGGACCACTATCTCTGTATCTGGGTTCGAGGCTACAGCCAGGACTAGTGACATAAGTATGGTATATTTTAACTGCCCTTCCGGGTCACTAGCTTTGTAACTGGGTTTGAGGCTACAGTTAGGACTAGTGACATAGGTATGGTATATTTTAACTGCCCCTCCGGACCACTACCTCTGTATCTGGGTTCGAGGCTACAGTTAGGACTAGTGACATAGCTAGGTATGGTATATTTTAACTACCCCACCGAACCACTAACTCTGTATCTGGGTTTGAGACTACCAAGTTAGAACTAGTAACATTAAGTATGGTATATTTTAACTGCCCCTCTGGTCCACAAACTCTGTACCTGGGTTCGAGGCTACAGCCAGGACTAGTGACATATATAGGTATGGTATATTTTAACTGCCCCTCCGAACCACTAACTCTGTATCTGGGTTTGAGACTACCAAGTTAGAACTGGTAACATTAAGTATGGTATATTTTAACTGCCCCTCTGGTCCACTAACTCTGTATCTGGGTTCGAGGCTACAGTTAGGACTAGTGACATTTATATACATGTATGCTGTTTTAACGTGTATACTGTGAGCCACAACAACATGCTTGTCAAAAGAGGTAGATAAAATGGCATCAACACAAAAATCTACGAGGTTTAAATCGTCATACCTCCGGCTCCCCCTGCATTTCATGAAAGTAAAATATCACACAGCCAACGTCAATAACTTTAAAACACAAAACCGCATGTCCTTTAGATGTTTTTACCATCACCAATTCTGTTTTAATGTTTAAGATAGGTTTAATATTTTTTTTCCTTTGTTTAAAAGGTCGTGTCTGGCAAAATCAGTTTTAAAATTGTTTATTATAAAGTAAGGAATATATTACTTGTGAAATGAAGGTCAATGTTATAACTTTAAAGAAAAAAACAAAAATGGTCAATGAATAAATCAAAATTGGATAACATTCCCACAGTATTTATCTTCCAGAAAATATCTTTAATTTTTATCCAAACTAAAATTAAATTTGGGATGAAAGTTTCGAGTATTGTTTGGTCTACTGTGTTACAGTCGACATAAATTTCATTCGGAAAATCAGTTTAAATATCTATTTCTGACAATGAACAGAAAATGTTCAAGCCTGAAATACCTACAGAGAAAGAAGAACATGTTCATGTTTAAGAAATAGAGTTTTGTGTTTATAGAATTAATTAAGCACACAAATATTGCCACAAGTTTTACGGACGTCTTTGTGTGGGAGGAACCAAAATAGAAAAGTGATTCACATATAAAAGTGTTTTCTTTTCTAAACATCATCAGTGAATCTAAGTCTATAGGGTCAGTAAAAGCTGAAATCTAGTGGCGGGCAAGTGGTATATAGTAAGCAGCTTCATGCTTGAGATAAAATTCGCATCGTAAGCAGATTGAACAGCAAGTTGTTACATAATTTAATCTCTAGTCTTTATGTCATCTCAGTAATCGTCGATTCTGACGATTCCATATAAAAGAATTTAAAATACATATCGTATTAACTCAGTCACCCCTGAAGACACATTTGAACTCTTCCAATTCAAAGGTTGGTATAGTTCATTGTAAAATTTCAGGGGTGAATGAGTAAAGAAAACGTTTATCATTTCTGTAAAAATAGGTGTTCTTGCACAGTTTGAAATACAACAAATTTATATCAATCTATAAAATTTAATAGATTATCATATTTTACAACAATTTCATTATTATGAAAAAATTCATCAGAGTTACATTTGTTTTACTTTATCAAACTTATACTTCTTAAGGTTTGTGACACAGTTTAGAGATAGAGAGACAGAATAGTCATTGTTTGAAAGTGTTCAGATTGATAGAAAGAAGAACACAGATTTGGGTTGGCATTGTATAATTAGGTCACACAGATTAGGCCATGACTGACGTGATTCGGTGAACGTCTTACCTGCGAGGTTTTCTTCGACTTGACGTACGTCGTGATGCAGGAGGCGGGTGCACGATGAACACATCTCTCGTGTACAGTGTATTTACAAACTGAAACAAAAACAATTCCCATTGAATATGGCAAACTATTGCAAGCAATCCATAATCCCCCACTTCAGGACCGATTTGGGTACTAAAAATAAACTATGAGTCACATCTCTATAAGAGCGGTACCTATTTTGGCAATTGTCCTGCTCTATACTCCAGGGGTTACGCTCACTTACGCTCTCTGCACCCCTGGAATATGCCATAGCAAACCTAAGGCTCAGTGTGCACCGCCTTGTGGATGAGAGTAAGAAGACTAGTTTGAACCTTTGATATACGTACAAAGAATATCACAATCACGTAACGGTAAAATTGATGGGTTTTGAAGTCAGGTGTCGTTCCTATGTAATCTTCAATAGGACAGGTATCAGCCTAGTGATTGGTCAGGATGTTTTTACCCGAGACCAATCAAATTGTTAGGCGCTTGCCTTAAATTTTCTATGACAAATTCCAGGGGTGTAGAGAGCAAAAGTGAATGAAACCCCGCGAGTATCAAGGATGGGCAGTTATGGACAAAGTGACACATGGTTGAAAAAAGGGTCGTATTTCCTCTGTTGCAATGTGGGGTTCAGGGACCCTATTTCAGTATACTGCACTGCACCATCCCAAGAGGTACTTGTACATAAAATTCAGTAATAGTACATTTAGGTGACAGAGTTAATGGGATTTCTCTCCAGGAAAGTGTCAACGGACAAATCCATTATCCCCTCCAGTAGTACAGGTGGTGGGAATGGGGGTCGGGGGGTGAAGGATGGCGTGGGGTGGGGAGGGTTAAGGTGCTAACAAGCTGAATCATTTTGAAACAAAAATCCATCTGTAGGACATAAGTATACCCTTTTGGCTCTGTGGTTGACCTATAAATTGTAACAGTGACCTTAGAACCATAAAATACCAATTCATCTGAGGAATTCTCATATTTGACATTTGCATAAATAAACTTTGATGAAGATCTGTCAAAAAAACAAGTCAGTACATTCATGACAATGCATCAAGATGCAACGTGACAAGACAGTCAGGACGGGATGGGACAGGACGGTCATCACCTCGATAAAATGAGGTACATAAATGAAGTACTTTCACTGACAATCTCCTGTTCACCCAGCAACACACGTAGGTCATGACTGATATTTCTGTAGGTGGTTATGTCACTTTCATAAACATCATCCCTGCTTGCCCAGCCCCACCGGTAGGTTGAGACAGAGATTACAGTAGGGGGGATGTCACTTACATGTACAACATAATCCCTGCTTGCCCAGCCCCACCAGTAGGTTGAGACAGAGATTACAGTAGGGGGGGGGGGGCCACTTACATGTACAACATAATCCCTGCTTGCCCAGCGCCGCCAGTAGGTTGATACAGAGATTACAGTAGGGAGGGGGGAATATGTGCTTGCCCAGCCCCACCAGTAGGTTGAGACAAGAGATTACAATAGGTGGGGGATGTCACTTAAATGTACAACATAATCCCTGCTTGCCCAGCGCGACCAGTAGGTTGATACAGAGATTACAGTAGTGAGGGGGGGATATGTGCTTGCCCAGCCCCCCCAGTAGGTTGAGACAAGAGATTACAATAGGGGGGGGATGTCACTTACATGTACAACATAATCCCTGCTTGCCCAGCCCCACCAGTAGGTTGAGACAAGAGATTACAATAGGTGGGGGATGTCACTTACATGTACAACATAATCCCTGCTTGCCCAGCGCCACCAGTAGGTTGATACAGAGATTACAGTAGGGAGGGGGGGATATGTGCTTGCCCAGCCCCACCAGTAGGTTGAGACAAGAGATTACAATAGGTGGGGGATGTCACTTACATGTACAACATAATCCCTGCTTGCCCAGCCCCACCAGTAGGTTGAGACAGAGATTACAGTAGGCGGGCTTATTGAAATGCTTCAGTCTCCAGGTGTGGTTTCCATCATCTTTTACATTCTGTGCACAAAAACAAAAATCTGTGGTCAAGCGATGGTTATATAGCAGTGTCCAGCTACTGTCCACTTCACTTCACCCTCTTTAGTATGTTGATGACCATTGTACTAACTGCTGACCAAATGATGTATCTACTTAGTTTGACCACGGATAATAATTTGTGAACCGCTTTGAGATGACCTACGAACTAGGTTGTGATAAAGCAGTATATAAGAACCTCTAGTTATTATTAATATTGTTATTATTATTTATATTGATTAAGTTGCCTTTTCTCGAAAAAAAAATCTGAAGTCTTCTAATAACTGCTGCTCTGTTCTCTCAAACTTACTGCAATTTGTTTTATTAATTTAAAAGGAGCGCATGTATCAATCTGTAAAATGTCCTATTATGCAATGTGTATTTTATTAACGAACTCATCCCGATTTTGGTAGAGGTAGCTGGCACATACTATACAAAGTGTCGTAATAAAACAAACAAAATGTGAGATTAACGGAATCATATATAAAGCAAGAAATTATCATTTAAATTTGCATTTGTTTAAACTCATTCACCCCTGAAAACACATTTAAACCCTTCCAATGCAAAAGTTGGAATAGTTCATTATGAAATTTCAGGGGTGAATGAGTTAAAAGTGATGTTAAAAAATATCTGTCAAGAACGACCAGCTCATTGACTAAACAATAAATCTGTTTCCTCTACATTTGCATTTTATTTCAAGAAATCAATTCTTGACAATTTTTACTTTCTAATTGTTTTTACATATTTTTGATAATAAACGAGCAACAATCTCTTTAACCCAAAAATTTCATGACAAAAATATGCAGATTTTTTTTTATGGAATTTGAACAATTTGCAATGAACTTGTATATAACATATATGTGGTCACTAATGAACGACGGACAACGATGAAAGCATCAAAATTCTAAATTCTGCCATAAAAAAAAATAAAAAATAAAAATAACAGTATAAGGATCAAAAGGAAGGGAAGCAATTCTATCCATATTAAATTTTGAATTGTACAAAGCATTTGTGTTGAAAAATATAAGTACAAATACACAAAATGCTAAGTTTTAACTCATTCACCCCTGAAATTTCATAATGAGCTATTCCAACCTTTGAATTGGAAGAGTTCAAATGTGTCTTCAGGGGTAAATGAAAAAAATAATAAAGGTATCCTAATTATATTTCAGGAACATGATGTTTTGATTTAAACTCCCAAATCAAATATATGGTGAGGTGACATGTGTTCTGGTTTTTTTGACATGCTTAAAGAAATACCTGAGCATCTGATTAATTGAACTCAAAAGGAAATCTCTTGTGTATAATATCTGTCAGTGAAACTCATGTCTACATTGAAGGAATTCTATGCATGCAATTCATTCTTTTATCGTAGTTTAGTAATTTCTCTGTTGGTCTTATAGTGCTTGCATTGTGTCTCCAGAACTACCTAGGCCTCCATCCTTCTCATGTTCTGGGGTAAAAGATCTACCAGCATGCATATCTACTCTTTACAGTTACTAGTAAACAAGGTGTATTAGTGAGCCATATTTTTTGGGCTGTTGTACGATGTTCACAAAGTCAAGGCCTAGTGGGACGGAGAGTGTTCGGGTCTACTCACCGAGTCGAGACCTAGTGGGACGAAAGGTGTTTGGGTCTACTCAGCGAGTCGAGACCTAGTGGGACGAAGAGTGTTCGGGTCTACTCACCGAGTCGAGACCTAGTGGGACGAAGAGTGTTCGGGTCTACTCAGCGAGTCGAGACCTAGTGGGACGTAGAGTGTTCGGGTCTACTCACCGAGTCGAGACCTAGTGGGACGAAGAGTGTTCAGGTCTACTCACCGAGTCGAGACCTAGAAGGACCAGGAGCGGTATCGTGGTCATCCCGCCTCTCTTCCACTCCTCCAGTGTGACTGTACCGTCGGAGTCGTAGTCTATCTCGACCATCATGTCCTGAAGAATCTGGGGACGAAAATCAACTAAGCGTCAAGCCTGATACAAAACAATTACACTACCAGACAGCTTACATTTTGTTTCCCTACCAAAACAATACACACTTCTGATGTCTTGACAAAAAACTCAATTTTTGGGAAAATTAAGATAGCAATGGCAGGAATCACGGTTCGAAATCTTACTGTCAGGAATTACGGTTAGAAATCTAACCGTCAGGAATCCAGTTACAAATCTAACTTGATATATTTGCTAGAGTCGTCACCTTTAACCCTTTCACCCCTATGTAACTTTAGTAGACTCTACCATGCATTGATATGGATGAGCCCATTATGGTCTACAGTGGTGAAAGGGTTAACCAATTTACTTAGAGGAAAAAATCCTCATATTGTGTCAGTGACAAGTGACTTATATATTCTTCCACTTAAAACAATCACGGTTAAGTGTATTAAAAATTGTTCCGTATTCAAATTGCATAAAAATCTAACAAAAAGTTGGAAAGATTTAGATTTAAGCCCAGGTAATGGAGGGATACTGTCACAATGAAGTCTCAATCTCCTGGCTATGTTTATACTTACAGGTTTGAGCTCGGACACGTCCCAGCCAAGGTATTCAGCCACAGACATCATCTGGTTAACAATGGCGTCCAGCTCCTACAAAATAACATCAGTTTTAAAATGCCCTGAATCACCAGGTAGGCGAAAATTCCATTCATAATAACGACACAATACGTATCACAATATATGGTTTTCATTATCAGCCGTATTTCGAACTTATTTAAACCCGATTCAGCAAAAAAAAAAAATACAAGACTGTTACACAAATGAAATGTACAGCGACAAGGCAGAGTATCACTATAAAGCTAAAGAATTGAATCATTTTTCAGTCGTTTCAAAATTGGTACACCATTAACTTTTGGTTTGTATGTGAATACAAGTCTCTAAAGAATGTGACATAATCTATTGGTTAGGGAATTGTAACAAGTCCTACAGTGTTGCCTCAGATGGTTAAAGTTTAGAATCCCCATGATGTTCTAGGTAAACATCACACTTGATTGAAGGAAAATAACTCTTCCATGTACACGCACATTATCGGTCAGATGCTGATCTGATTGTTTAATACAAAGTCTGCAGAACTCGGGCTTAGTGTGTGAACAGTAAATAACGATCACATTTAAAAAGATGACATACCTGCGTGCCTCATTACTTTTTTTAAACTAATTATTAATATTTTTTGGCCTACAATGTATGTTTGGGTTTGTGTTATGACAAAGAAAATAATTGCAAGTAGGTAAATCTTATAAATCACTGTGTACAGTTAAGGGGAGACAATCCTGTTCATATCTACTTACACTTGAGTCCAGCAGGCCATTACCATCAGCATCATACAGACGGAACATGACTGTAACATAACCAATCATAATATTAACACAGTATCACCTTAGCTTCATAAATACTATACACTATACATGCATGTTCCATCCTCATAAAACAACCCATTCAGTATCTGCCTTTGCTGACAGGGAATCTGGACCAATTATGTAAATTCTGATGTCACAACATGTTTTACCTCACTATTTGTTTGGGAGTAGCCTCCCCTTCTACTACCGGCTGATGTACAATGCTTCTGTTCCACTCAATTATGATACAACAAACTTTATAAACTGTCATAGGCCCTCGGCAATATAAACTAGGTATATGTAAAAGATGTGGATTTATTAGGTTGCCTTACAAGCGTCGGCTGTAGGGAATTTCTCTTTAGCTCAACGGTAGAGCATCAGGCTGGAGAGCCAAGGGTCGCGGGTTCGAACCCCAGCGACGGCACTATCTTTATCACTATTCCTCATCCTATAACATATACATAACATTACACTGAATGATAAATGATACTTGTTTATTGCCTTTTGGCAGTTATTTTTACGTTACGAGTGTTGATCAAATTTTATTTAGTGATACAATTCATAAATGCAGGCTCCACCGGTATTACCTGGGCCCGAACTCATGAACCAGTCTCGGGCTCAAACTAAGATACTGCTCTCAAGCCTAATATCTTGTTTCTGTGATAAATTAATAAAGAAAAACAATAATCAAATTTTGTCAATGATATGGAGAATTTTGGGAAACACTAAGCTGAACACTGTTCTCAGTGTTAACAATTTAACTTTTTGACCATGTAACATATGATTTAATCTAGTTACAAAAAGGTTGCCTTGAGCACAGATTTCATGCTTGAGCATGGGAATAGTTTTACAAATAAAGGCCCGGATCATGTTTCTAAACAGCTGAGTATCAAATATGGTTGGCTACATCGAGATGTTCATGGCTCCTTCTTCATACTTTATCCTGATCATCCCCACTGGTGATCAGGCTGGCTATACTTACACTCGAGTTTGTCCTCCGGTCGTCCCGCCTCCAGTAGAGACAGGTAACAGACAAGGTCCTTCAGGTAGATGTGTCCAGACTTGATGTCAGCACTTGTTGACCGGTTACGTACAGACTTCAGTTCCACAGCAGTACTGGCCCGCAGTAAGCTGGAGTTAGACTGTCGCACCCACGGGTCAATCGAGTCCATCGAGTGACCTGTCAAATGGACAAAAACGTGACCTAGCTCTTAAACAACCTGGGCTCGTACGTACCTCTCAATCTTGTTGTGAAGAGCAATTTCATTGGAACATGGTGCCCCTGCAAGATTACACTATTAATTCCTCAATTTATTTGTTGCAGAAATATTTTCATCTTTGCATGCTCTTTTAAAGTGTAATAAAAAGAACAAGAGGCCCAATGGGCCTGAATCGCTCACCTGGTATTAATCTCACACTTGTAATCTTAAAAGTGGACTAAAATACAGCTACAGGAAGAATATCAGTGTTTGATTCAAAAGAGCCTATTAAAAGATTTAAACATATGACGCCTGTAACCTTGAATGTCGAACATGGACATTAGGTTGATCAGAGTTTAAAGTCTTCCAACCCAGCATGCTTTTGGCAAAATATCATAACCCTGGACCTATTGGTTATACAGAACAAGTCATTTAAAGATTTAAACATATATTGACCACTGTGACCTTGAATATGGGCGAAGGTCATTCATTTTGACAAAATTGGTAGCCCTTCATCCCAGCCTGTTATTAACCAAATATCATCGGCCCCTGCGACCTTGAATATATGTAAAGGTCATTCATTTGAATAAACTTGGTTGCCCTTTATCCCAGCATGCTACTGGCCAAATATCATCATCCTAAGACTTTCGGTTATTGAGAAGAAGTTGTTTAAAGGTTTTAAAAATAATTAACCCCTGTGACCTTGAAAATAAGTAAAGGTCATTCATTTGAACAACCTTGGTAGCCCTAAATCACAGCATGCTACTGGCCAAATATCGTAACCCTATGCCTCTTAGTTTTTCAAAAGAAGTTGTTTAAAGGTTTTAAACATATTTGACCCCTGTGACCTTGAAAATAAGTAAAGGTCATTCATTTGAACAAACTTGGTAGCCCTAAATCACAGCATGCTACTGGCCAAATATCGTAACCCTATGCCTCTTAGTTTTTCAAAAGAAGTTGTTTAAAGGTTTTAAACATATTTGACCCCTGTGACCTTGAAAATAAGTAAAGGTCATTCATTTGAACAAACTTGGTAGCCCTTAATCACAGCATGCTACTGGCCAAATATCGTGACCCTATGCCTCTTGGTTATTAAAAAAAAGTTGTTTAAAGGTTTTTAACATATTTGACCCCTGGGACCTTGAATATATGTCAAGGTCATTCTGTTGAACAAAATAGGTAGCCCTTTATCCCAGCATGCTAATGGCGAAATACCTTAACCCTAGGCCTCTTAGTTATTCAGAAGAAGTTGTTTTAAGGTTTTTAACATATTTGACCCCTGTGACCTTGAATATAAGTCAAGGTCATTCATTTGAACAAACTTGGTATACCTTCTTCCCAGCATGCTACTGGCCAAATATCATTATCCTAAGCCTCTTGGTTATTCAAAAGAAGTTGTTTAAAGGTTTTAAACATATTTGAGTCATGTGACCTTGAATATAAGTCAAGGTCATTCATTCGAACAAACTTGGTAGCCCTTCATGACAGCATGCTACTGGCCAAAAAGCATCATCCTAGGCCTTTAGGTTATTGAGAAGAAGATGTTTTAAGGTGTTAAGCATATTTGACCCCTGTGACCTTGAATATAAGTAAAGGTCATTCATTTAAACAAACTTGGTAGCCCTTCATGACAGCATGCTACTGGCCAAATATCATTAGCCTAGGCCTCTTAGTTAGTCAGAAGAAGCTGTATAAAGATACTTTAAGACAATTGACCCCTGTGACCTTGAAAATGGACGAAGGTCATTCATTTGAACAAACTTGGTAGCCCTTTTTCCCAGCATGTTACTTGCTAAAAATCATCACTCTGGGCATTTTGGTTATTCAGAAGAAGTCGTTTAAAGTTTTTAACATATTTGACCCCTGTGACCTTGAAAATAGGTGAAGGTCATTTATTTGAACAAACTTGGTAGCCCTTCATCCTAGTTTGCTTCTGGCCAAATATCATCACCCTAGGCCTTTTGGTTATTAAGAAGAAGTTGTTTAAAGTAAAATATTGACGCCGGACGCAGGATGACGGACGGACGGACGACGGACACTGCACCATGGCATAAGCTCACTTGGCCCTTCGGGCCTGGTGAGCTAAAAATTAAATGGATTGCTCCTTGATACTATAAATAATTCGCGCTTGCAGCATGAAATACCGAAATTTTCACTCGTTCTTTACAATCATGCAATATATCAGTATATTACCATATTCGTGAAATATATACTAATATGTTTTCGTTCATTAAATATCCTCAAAATTTTATCACGGGAAACATTTAAATCACAAAGGGAAAAGAGGGCTTTGAAATATGTTGAACGTAAGTATGGTGGCTGTAATCCCATTCAAGATTAAATATTAGAAAATTCATGTTTACACAGAGATTTGATTTATGGAACAATTTTCCGTGTAATGTTGTGAATTCAAACTCAGTTAAACAAGTTGAACAAAAACTAGATGAACACTGGTAAAACCAAGCACAGAATATTTTTTTTAAAGAAAACCTTGTAATGTCAACGTCGCAACTTTTTAAATATGTTTTTAATATTTTTCCATTTCTGAGCTGACTGTCCAAGTATTGTAAATTTGTTAGAACAAAATTGATGTATTTATGTAAGATGAAGGGTACATAAATTATAATATCGAGGGGTTAATTTCCAAAGACACGAAGCTGAAACATTTAGTGTACCATTGTGTTGTGTCTGAACACTGTGGTTGGATTTCTTTGAGGATGAGCGTGAATGGTTGATGCCCTCGGGGGCGGGGTCAGATTCCCCGAGGGGCTTCTCTGTTCCGCTGTTCGTCGTCACGGCAACAGAAGGATGGGTTGATGTGGACGCTGACCCTACAAAGAAAAATAGATTGGGATTTTATTACAAAATAATAAAAAAAAAATGAATACATTACATTTCGCTTTAAATACTAATTTCTCCAAATTAACACAGTGTGCATGATAAAGATATTTTCTCTGATCAGTTATTGTATACTTTTCCTATATAAGTCCTTCATCATGGCCACTGAAAGTTTCATTTGTCTTTTTTTAACAGAAACCGGTTTATATTAAATACATGTTAACTTTTGAAATATACTAGACAAGACTCGTGTCATATAGACAGTCAACAAACACAGGCCTTTTATCATCTACACAAGTGTAACAGAGGTCATTGTTTTTTCAATGCCTCAGCCAGGGATTGAACACAGTGTCTCTGGAGTCAAGCTCAGGACCTCTGGTTAACTAATCTTGCACTCAACTGAGTGAGTTAAAGAGAAATTTTCCCTAGCCAAGTCAATAGAAAGCGGCTAGTGTTTTATTAGGGTAATATATTACTCTCCCTCAAGGACAGAACTCTTCCAGAGTTTTTCCAGGAGTCATAGCGATTCTTGTGAAAGTATCGCTGAGTAGTTACATGTCAATGTTTCCCAGGTCCCTACATGGGTACCTATGTAACAGAGGTATTTATTTTTTCAATGCCTCTGCTGGGAGGTAAACCCTGCAGACCTCTGGTTTACTAGACTCTACCAAATGAGCAAAAGAGAGATTCTCCCTAGCTGCATTGGCAGGAAGCAGCTAGTATTTTACCAGGGTGCCATACTCCCCTCCCGATAACAGATACAGGCCCTGCATCATTTACAAAAGCAGATAGAGGCCCTGTACTACGTACAAAAGAAACAGACACAAGCCCTGCTTCATGTATAAAGCAGATGCAGGCCCATCATCATGTACACAAGAAACAGATAAAGGCCCTTCATCATGTACACAAGAAACAAACATATAGGTCCTACATCATGCACAATAGCATATTCAGGCCCTTCATTATGTACAGATACAAGAAACAGATACAGGCCCTCTATCATGTGCAATAGCAAATACAGGCCCTGCATCATGTACAAAAGAAACAAATTCAGGCCTTTCATCAGGTATGAAAGCAGATATAGGCCTGGGATGTTTCAGCCAACATATCTGCACAATTTAAAAAAAAAAGAGTACTGATTTACCTGTGTCACGCATCATATATAATTGTTTTAATCACAACAATGTGAAGAAAATCACATGTAAACATTAGAATTCAAACCGAATCAAATTGAATGGAATGGAAAATACTTCACCCCTAAATACATCTTTTTTCCCCCAGCCGAGCAGGTAAACCTATACTTACCATGTAAAAGTTAGTACACTCTCTCTCAACACACAAACACACACTACTTCGTCAAATACACTGTACGTACATTTGTACATTGAAATCTGCATGTTTTAACGGACTGACTAGAAATCTAAACAAAGACTGCACTCAAACATGAAAACAGTAGAACGTTATCTAAACATAATTTGCAATAAAAAAAACATTTATAGGTACAGTGTATAACATTAACAGTAAAACCTTGTTTACTGCCACCATGTGTTCAGCAAACTTGTGACATTGTAAAGGAGTTTATACAGTGAACGATACATATCAAGAAAACTGAAATCGGGCTCTTCAATATGTTTGTAGTTTAACAGACATGGGGTTGTCCACGGCAATTCATTTGTGGTGTTATAGAGGTGTTTGGCGATATAGTTCAAGACCTTTACGATTTAACAAGCCAGGGGGGCATCATGTAATCTGTTAATTTTTGGCATTATAGAAGAATCTGGCAATATAGTTAGGTAGATATACCAGGGAATCGATAAGAAAAAGGAAAAGGGTCATGAAATATTTTCGTGGTTACAAGCAAAGGGGATAACGCAATATGGTGCATTTTATACCAAGGTTTTAATGTAAATATAAACACCAACAGTGGTTGTTGGCTGAATGTAATTCCTTAAGGACAAATCATTAACAAATAAAAAATGTTCTTAAGATTAATTAGACTATATTTTTGAATATGTCAATTAAATACAATGTTGAAAATAAAAGTGCATTTTGCTTGTTACTGGAATCTCAGCTGGTGAGGTTTCACTGCCTGTAATTCAGTAAGACTATAGATGGTTTTATAAGGGAAACAGCTTTTTGCAACAGATTAATGCTGTATTGTAACAAGTTAAATAGTTATGAACATATCTGACAAAAACAGTTACATTTCACAAAATAAAATAAAGAGAACATATCAGGTGTAAAATAAATAATTGGGACAGAAAATTCATGAAGCAATTACTGATATTTTCATACATAAAATAAGCTCTTGACAATCTCCAAGCAAGCTTCCTAATAAAGCATAAAAAAAATTTGCAATGTAAGATATAAATATTAACTAATAATCTATCTTAATTATATGTTCCTTATGTCGATAAAATCACTAAGCAGATGCCACCACAGTTGAAACGTATCTTTTCTATCAATCATAATCATTATATATTTCACACGACCAAAGTACCATCCATGCCCAAAGGATAAACTTACTTTAAATTTGGGCTAACATGATACCAGTAACAACACAAAGAAAATTATCTCACTGTATCACATACAATTACTATAATTCACACAATAAAAACACTCTTCTTCAATATTAAATGCATTACCTCAAACACTACAGTGAGTGTTTCTTTAAACTAATTAATTTTGAAATATTTCTTTATATTAAATATTTTTCTTACATAAAGAAAACAAATCCAAATTGATTCACATTAGTCCTTTTATGATTTTTAATGATAACAGAGCTTTTTGAGTGGTAACAAAATTAAAGTTCTACCCGAAATTGTTTTAAAAGGTTTTACAGTAAGGTAAAAAGTTTTTATTAACAATTAAAGTTAACATATTTAAACACAAAATGTCCCCTTTTTTGCCCCCACTCACCTGGGATGTTCTATCACACATTGAGAACTTCATCCTCGAAATCGTAATGGTTCTGTACCCCTTGAATATGTCAATCAAATGGAAGGCTCGTGGTAGGCTTTTTTTGATTGGTTTCAGGAATAACAACATGTTCTATCAAGATACCGAGCAACTCCATTTGTACATGTAGCTTTAAAGTCTGTAGATTTTACCATTATACTGCTGTGATTAGAAAGACATCAGTAAAGTCTTCTTGTATCGTCCGCAATGTGTCCCGCAAAGAGCCTTTGATTTTGTCATGACATATTCCAGGGTGCAGAGAAGATATATTTATCAAGAATGAATCCCATGGATCTCGAGGATGATGAAATCTGTGTCCTCAATTTCTTACAAATGTTTCCGCGAAAATGCCCATCCTGTTTAAACATCATACCTGAATGAGCATTTGTAACAAAACAAGAGGCCCAAGGGCCTTAGCGGTCACATGAGTTATATCATAGGTACTGGTAGCTTTTTTTTATTGTTTAGATGTGATGTGGAAATCAGCATGTAAACTAAGTGAAAAACAACACTTGTCATGTCATCAAAGGATAAGAATTTGAAAATATTGGTAAATGTTCCCTTTGGGGCCCTGTCCTAGCCCCTGGGGATGGGGCAGGAATCCCAATTTTCCGAAGTAATACTCTCATTAACCAAAGATGATTCTAACTAAGTTTGAGTAATTTTCTGCTGAAAATGGATAAAATATATACCCAAAAGTGTTGTTTCCCTATATAAACTATAGTAAACTTCACTTTTTGAAATATTGGTTAATTTTCCCTTTTGGGCCCCGCCCTGGCCCCTAGGGTTGGGGTAGGAATCCCAATTTTACAATTTGGTAGCCCCATATACCAAGGATGATTCTGACCAAGTTTGAAAAAATTCCATCCGCTGGTTCTTGAGAAGAAGTTGATAATGTGAAAGTTTACGCACGACGGACGACGGATGACGATGGACGAAAAGTGATTGGAATAGGTCACTTGAGCAAAGCTCAGGTGACCTAAAAATCTTAATGGTCATCCTTCAGCTGACGTTATGATACAAAACTGACTGAAGAAATATTTATGTCCGACAGACATTTTATGCCAGTGCATTAATAAATCAAAAACACAAGTCCTGCTAGGTGAGCTTGGAGACTGAACAAAAAATAAAAACAAGTACATCTTATTTTTAAACTCTCCACAAACATCTGACACTTACGTCATCATAAATCTCTTTTTTTGACAGGGAGAATACATGCAGACAATACCTGATGCATTCAATGCCAACTAAAACAAAAATCATCAAAATGAAATCATAAATAAATCTTGTGATGAAATAGATCTGTTCCTAACAAATCAATAAAACTTTCTAAAACATGCACAAACATTCAGTCAAAAATGCAAAAGAAAGAAAAACAACTTGTGATTTAAATGGTCCTTTAAGAAACGTACATTTCATCTACTCAAAAAAAAATCTAGTAACTTATTTTATCTTTAAAAATTTGTATGTAAAGATCTTTTGATTTGAATAGATTATGAAAACCCCAGTGGAAGCAACTGCTATGGTAATGATGAATTTAAGGTGAATTCAAACATAGCCGAAGCAAAACATTTCTTATGGTCGTTGTCATTTCCATTAAGTGTTATATTATGACCCCTAGTTAAAAAGAATGGGTTAACTCATTCACCCCTGAAGACACATTTGAACTCTTCCAATTCAAAGGTTGGAATAGTTCACTATGAAATTTCAGGTATGAATGGAGGTAACATGCACAAAGCACAACTGAAACTAAATACTTAACTCATTCACCCCTGAAGATACATTTGAAATCATCCAATTCAAAGGTTGGAATAGTTCATTATGAAATTTCAGGGATGAATGAGTTAACACTCTGTCAAATATACAAAACGTTTATACGATCACTGACAACTGTTATGCTACTTTTTTTTCAGGTTCCTTCCCTTTAAAATGTATTTTTGTAAAGCGTTACCTTTGACCAAAACACTGATTGACCTATATCTCCCTTTAACTTTGATCTAAACTCACAGAAATCATCCATAATTTATCAATAAAATCATTGTCTGAACACATCTGTTTGTGAAGTCATATATCTGAAGTACCGAAATAAACAGTGATGTGAATGACAGAAATAACGCAGGATGTGAAAGATAAATACAAATGATGCAAGATTTCAAGGGCATTGATGTGAAAGACTGAAAAGAAGGTTGAATGTGAAGGATGCATGTCAAAGAATGAAGACAGAATGTCAAAGTGAAGGTGTGGGATTAAAAATAATTTGACCTAAGTAATTTCCAATAATGTATGTGCTATTTCGATGACTGTGTGGAATTTTTAACAGAAAGGTGGGGAAAAAAATCATTATTGGTGAGGAAATTCCACTTTATAGTGATGATCTGATGATCGAGTCGGGAGAAATGGCACAAGGATAGGTACATACCCATGCAAATCACAGAAAGCCTGTAACATTTAGAAATATGACGCACAGCCAAGAGTTACACAATATGAGAGGCTGAAACACAAATAATACATTTTTCAACACCTCAAACAGTCTTATAAAATTATTTTTATACTTGTTACAAAATTATTTATCAGATTGAAGAAGAGAATATTTCCTCGGAGTGAAACAAGAGCAAAACAAATTCTGTCAGGTCTGTTAGTCATTTTATTGACCACAATAAAGGTTTATATATATATTAAACATGTGATTTTCTTTGTCCGACTTTGGCAATAGTTTGAATACAAATCTGGAATTTCCAGGAAATTTCCTGATCTGATTGGATATATGAACATTGGATTTCCCTTACCACTATATCTGGGAACAATAACACACAGGTGATATTTGGTTGACGTTTACCTCCTTGATATATATACAAGATTAAAATAACCTTGAAGTCAAACTCGAAACCCCATGAAAATTAGCCTGACAGATAATGGCAGTTGTACAATAATTATCATGCTGTATTGGACGAGACGTTTTTTCAAATATTTGCATCGTGATGGGACCTTCCAAGTTACAAATTTCATTTTTTTTTTTCACCTGATCATCCTACCTTTAGATTTCACCTCTTGATTTAAATAATCAATCTACAAGCTACACCTTAAAGCTCAAGTAAAATCAACTTCGTTCCTTAAGATTGAAAACTTAACAGTTCTTAATACATTTCCATATCTAACCCTAACTTCATCTTCCACCTTTATAACTTATTATTGTTATGATTTTTCATTTTGAATAATTAAAATGCACTTACGTTTATTTTAGGCAGAGTTCTGTTAATTTCTCTTAATCCTAAATATAATGTTAAGTCTTTCATCTGTACCTACATGAATTGGGAAAATTTTGCAATATTTTGATTCAAAATCTGAAAAATATTCCTAATGTTTTCTTTATTTTAGGAACATAAAAGTCTTCTTGCTAGGGACAGCAGCCTGTTTTTGCTGTAAAACAAATCACTGACCACAATATTTTTTTTTTTTTTTAAATGACTTCTCTCTCTTTCGGCATTAATGATGATTCATTCATGACTGACAGAAATTAAGGCGGAAGTATCTTTTTTTCATTATTTTTTTATCTAGCTGATGACGAAGCTTTAGTGAATGTCAATCAAAGCATTTTATCGTTTTGTACTTGTCTCGTACGGGATTATTTATGAATAGATAAGCGGTCATCTTGTCTTTGACAGATTTATAGCCAGTGAAAATGTATTGAAGCTTACAGAGATCTCGAGTTTTCCTAGTCATTTGCAAACACGTCAATTTGAGAGAAAAAAATCTTGACATCATGATTTTTTTTTTATGTCACTGTGTACAATACTTGTCAATTTGTTTTCTTACTCGTATAAAGATAAAGTAAGTATTATGCTTTTTTATGTTTTCTTTTTTCTGAGACAAACTAAATAATATCAAACACACCCGGAAGTCTGAGAAATGCTTTTAGGAATAGATTTGAGATTTAAATGTTTAGCGTATTTGTTTTGCAGAGCATTTAAGTGATATAAACATGGTTACTGTAGTTTAAATCTTTGTACGAATAATTTATCTAAGATTTACATGTCTCTCTAGGTTTGAAATGACCAAAGTTGCATTTTTAATGATTAGGGACATTTTACAAAAACAAAGTATCAGTTTAAGCAAAAAATACATAAAATATGAAAATATGAAAAACATATATTTACACTTTTTTTTGTAGAAAAAATAATACACAATTTTTGTAACAGTCATGTATTGACAATATAAACACAGATGCATCGCAATTACAAGGTACATATATGTTTATAGAGATAGATAGAAGTTCTACGCTAACAGATTCTCGCTACGACTGACAAACACTGACAATAGCACCACCTAGCCATCACCACCACCACAGGACAACAACACGCATGGCTTGGTTTAGTACACCTATACCTGCTCCGCTACGCCGCCCCAACTCCCCGCTATCATGACGATTGTGCCCTGTTAGGCTGTGAAGTTGTAGCTTCTCGGTAAGTCCGTGAAGTTTTTCGGCAAATCCGTGATGTTTTTCGGCCCGTTCCAAAAGGAATTCGGGGCCGATATGGGTATTGATGGGGGCACACAAGGTTTGGGATGCGGTAACCGCAGCAACGTCCTTAACGTGGAATTCCTTACCCACAGTGCCTGTCTGTGGCGACGGTTTCTTCATAAATGACAGAAACAGATGTTTGCATAGTTCCTCCGGCACTTCTGCATCGAGGTACGTCTCCATGAACAGACTGAAACCCTCATACCCGATTGGCTGAAAATACACAAAAAAAAATGTCACATATGCACCTCAAAAAATATCTCCTATGCACTAGGCTGATGTTTTTTTTTTTTTTTTTTTTTTTTATATAATGATGAACTTTTCCAATGAACAAGTAATATCTGTAGCTGGTTGAAACAATAGAAAAATTGATATCAGAAACATGCTTAAAAAGGTTGCATCATCCAACCTGCTGTCAGTGCAATATAATATGTAACATTAATGGACAGTCGTCCAACTCTGGAGAAACCTTATAGTATCATGAGAGTACGAAGGGCCATTACTCTGTATGAAGTAAGACACGATAACTGATCGTAGGTCATTACATTTTGCCATCCCAGCAAGGACCTGCATACAGTTTACGTAGGTGACAGAATATTTGAAATGTACCCCCAACAAAGTGATGCACAGGCTGGCAGGTATGAATGGAGTGAAAACTGACAGCACTTCTGGTTGTATCATTGGGGGACTATTGATTGATTACGATATTATGTATAAATTATCATTCTTGACTTTTCATTATCCCAAAAATACACTATAATAGGGTTTTTAGAAAACCATACTTGCCATTTTTTTTTAAATTTCCATGGGGAGATTATGTGTTCACAAAATAAAAAACACAAATAAAATGTGTACACACACATACACTTTATGGAAAAAACACTTAAATAAGACATCTTTTGGGCTGTTCTTTTAGATGAGCTAAATAGGAATAGTTAAGCTAATTCACTAGTTGAAAATACTCCATTTAACTTAAGGTCCAAAATTGTGACTCTCCCTCCAAAATAGGGAGAGTTGGCAAGTATGGAAAACCATGTGGGAAATGATAATGCATCTGTGTATGAAAACTATAACTCACCCCTTCGGAGTTGTACTTGGACAGTACACCGTCTCCATTGAATTCTTCCAGCACATCCTTCAGTTTACGGGAAGAATCTGAAAACAAGAAACCACATTTTATACCCATGCAAGATTGCATTGGTCATCTGTCATTCAAAAATGCCCAAACGCCACGTAAAATGATAGGAAAACCATGAAAACCATTCCAAAGAACCCAGAAACCATGCTTCATTCCATATTTTGGTTACAGAAAATATCCTTAAGGTTCATGCATAAACCAATCAAAATCCCTGTTACAAACTGTGATTGAAGATATGTACATAAATAATGCAAGTATCGATCAATATACCCATTCCAATTTTATTAATTTATTACAAAAATGAATTTCATGCTCAATGTACCATGAAACAAAAACACTTACATGTATACAAATCATGTTTTCTATTTGTATGTTAATTTCATTGATTGAATCAAAATTTTGCTTTTTTCATTTTTAAATTTAAATAACAATGAAAATTCTTATATGAATTTAGGACAATCTGGACCTAGAAACTAAATTTATACATTTTAAAATCTTTTCAAAGGAAATAAGATGATATAGAAGATAAAACCCCATGAACGGGTGTAGGTTGAATTCCAGGTAAGAACCAGATAATTACGGCTTCAGGCGGAAACAGGGAGAGCTTGAAGGAGGGTGAAGGATTTTTGCAGCATGTTTTGAAGTTCCAAATATGGTAAACTTATAATGTATTCAGATAGTAAATCTATTACCTGCAGCACAGGCTCTTTCCTTATGCAAATGCACTTCAAAAACTTATATCTCTATACTAAGTAGCTTTACCTAGACTGGGCATCACAGAACAGCAGTGTAAGATTGATGGGGTTTTTTAAACGCTTGAAGTGTAATTTTTAAAACCTATGATTACCCAATATGGATCTGCCTTTCAATTTTTTTTCTGTTTTACTGCTCATAGAGATATTTTATCGATCCAGGATCGAAGAAGCCCACTGTTCGGGCGAAACTGGTAGACATACCTTATAAAGACGATTCAATTTATCCTGAGCTTGTTGCGATCGACACCTATTCTTAGAGATATTTTAGTGTTTGTTCTATTTTTGAGATTTTTATATTTGTGATGTTTGTGCTGACAGTCACATATATATACATATACACATACATATACACCCATATTTATTGTTTCTTCAAGTTCATCATCTTTATAATGTATTCAACGGTATCTAGATTAGTGTCCATTCATATGTATGTATATATATATGTGTACTGAATATAGGATTGTATTAGTTGCGTAGGAAGTGCGGGAGAAGACATCACGCCGTCCAGAAGGGAGTATTTATTGGCACCAGATCGGACATCTGTTGCCCACTAAGATCCCAGATATTCGATTGATGTTTGTCATTTAATACATAGACTAGACTTAATGAAATCAACCCCTGCCATCCCGATATTGATTCCCATTTGAACTGTCCTGGACTTATGGTACACTTTTCTTTAACTTGAGGTTTTTGAAGTAAAACCAATTTTCATGATGTAATACTTACCATAACTTTAGTATGCATATACAATACCTACACCCATCTTTGTAGCCCAAAAACAAAAGATTCAAATATCCCTACCTCCCTACCGTGACGTAACCTCTATCTCGATGACAGAGCCACGGAGTGATCTCCCTTCCTCAAACCCCCTTTTATGGAGCCTAAAGGCAGCCAGGATGAGGAGGCAAGGGGAGGAATACAGGGTGGGACTCCATAAAGTTATGGTAAGTATTACATCATGAAAATTGGTTTTACTTCAAAAACCTCAATTTCATTTCAGTAATAATTACCATAACTTTAGTATGCGAATTCGTCTTACCGTAGTGGAGGCTTCGAATCCAGGCAGACCAGGCTGACGGAACAAACTCGAGACATGCTCAAGGTAGGGAAAAGGTTCAAGGAACCCCCCTAATAAAGCCCCGAAAGTAATTAAAAAATGGAAAACCTCCCCGTGAAACGAGCAGGTGTACCACCGTGGTGCCTGATAGCATACTATTTAAAATCACTGAATTACTGTGGAGGAACAGCCACAGACTGTGCAACCACCACCGGTCCAAGGGAATACAATCCATCAGAATGAGAGGCCAAGGACCGGAGATAAAAATCCGTGAAGGTAGTCTGTCCGCGCCAGAAAGCTGCGGACATGACCTCCTGAAAGGGGGACCCATTGAGGAGGGCCCATGACGCAGCAAGGGCCCTGATCTCATG